ATACTTAACAGCTTCCCTTACTCTCATGATAGAAGTGTCTGCATCTTTAAGACCATCTTGTACTGCTAAGTTCAAGATGCGTGCAATGCAACACATATGAACATACTTTACTTTGACATAAGAAGCACTCCAAGATATTAATTTTTTCTTGAAAAAACCAACAGTTGTATCATTACTACTAGCATTATCAACAGTCGCAGTAAAAATACTTTTCAGACCTCACTCAAGTAAGCAATTATCTAGGGCTTTAGCAAGGTACTCCCCTTGTGACAAGTGACAGGGACAAATGATTTTTTTTTCTGGAGCTTCCACTGATCATCTATGAAATGAGCAGTATACACATGTAATTTATCCTCTGAATAGAGGTCCATGTATCAGTGGTTATACTGACTCTCCGAGTGTGTTCCCTAAACATCCTTTTTAGAGTCATTTTTTCATCAAGGTATATTTGATAGATGTCTCTAGCAATTGTGAATCTAGAAGGAATTTGAAACCTAGGACAGGATGCAGCAACAAACTTCCTAAAACCATGTCTGTCTACAAATCTAAAAGGAAGCTCATCAATGATTAACATTTCACCTAGAGCTCTCCTATTAGCTTCTCGATCAAACACCCAAGTTCCTATGACCCCAATATTTTCAGAGGTTTGACCTATCTGTGTAGGGACATGTTGGAAGGTTAATAGGGCCTGTCTAGTGTCTTTAGCATGAGGATTTTTCAAGCAAATAAGCATGTGATTTCAGATGGAGGAAGTTCCATGTTTCTTAGAGTGACAACACTATATTTTTGCACACTATATGAATTTCCTATTTAATAAGCACACCCTTGTCATCCTTAATTTGGATAAAGTGTTCCCAAATCTTAGATCTCACATCTACCAATTTTCTCTTTTGGCAGGTGGTGCATTCTGTTCATTGGTAATATTAGGCTCATGAATTTGACCTTCCACCACTGTTTCTTGACTCAGAGGAGGTTAAGATCCAGATATAGAAAAGGTCACACTTTCTTCACCTTCCATCTAATGAATGCAAAATGCAATCATGAACAAACAGTAATACATGCTAATTTCATACTTAGCTTCCACATTATAATTATACAAATCAGGAATCATATATCAAAAGTCAGACCCACATCTCCACAGTAGGCAACGCATGAATATAGCTTCCACATAGACACATAGTTCATATCTCACAGATAATATGTAAGTCCAGAACAATCAGCAACCTGATTTACAGAAGGATAACAAGCAATTTGCTTATTCACTTCTCTATAGACTCTGAAGAAACTAGTTCACGCTATGTACTCGTTTGAGTACTAGAGTACAAAAAGGCTTCTTCATCAAAATAAGAATGCAATTATGTACAACAGTAGAAGTAAATAACACATGATGGGTTTATACTAAGCTTCCACAGCCCACAGATCCACATACAATTTACAAATACAATATAATTATACAGATCCGGATTCATATAACAAAAGTCAGAACCACATCTCCACAGTAGGCAACACATGAATATAGCTTCCACATAGACACATAATTCATATCTCACAGATAATAACTAAGTCTAGAACAATCAGCAACCTGATTTACACAAGCATAACAAGCAGTTTGCTTATTCACTTCTCTACAGACTCTGAAGAAACCAGTTCACTCTATGTACTCGTTTGAGTACTAAAGTACAAAAAGGCTTCTTCATCAAAATAAGAACACAGTTATGTACAACAGTAGAAGTAAGTAACACATGATGGGTTTATACTAAGCTTCCACAGCCCACAGATCCACATACAATTTACAAATACAATATACTTATACTGATTTGGACTGATATATCAAAAATCAGAATCACATCTCCACAGTAGGCAACACATGAATATAGCTTCCACATAGTTCAACATTCTAATTTCAAATAAACAGATCTGAAATTCAGAATGAATTATACATATCTGTACATATGCGAACTCAAAAATCAAGCAAACATTGGAACATATCTGAATAAATGAACTCAGAAATCAAGAGTCAAGAACTCAACATGCAACATTCTGTAAGTAAATATTCACTAACGTCACAATTGACAACTCAGCACATGCATGCATCATCAAGGATTGAAGGATTCAAAATACCATTATATGAACATGTTTAAGTATTTTATACCTCAAGTCCTCAACGGCTCAAAGAAGAAAGATTGACAATCGGTCTCATAGACTCAGAGACTCACACAACCACACGCTCGGCTTGAATAGTTGAAGGCTTCCACTAGGTTGAGGACTTCAGGCAGTGAGCCACTGAGCCAGTGATGACTGATGTATAATTAACCGGGAGACGGCAACAACAGCCGATGAAGAGAGAAGTCGAAGTCTCTCACTCCTCTGAGTCGTAGAGAGGAGATAATCAGATAGTTTAGAGAGTGTAAGTTAGGGTTAGCCGATTAGGACTTTAGGAGTTATGAAGTTAGGGTTATGGCATATGGAGATATGGGTATTGGATGGGCTAACCGGCGAAAGGAAATAGGGAATAAGGGAGTAAGGGTAATGGACTAATAGGTTGTGCTTATGGGGATTTCGGATTCGAGGAGTAAAGTCTGAAAGGGCTGGGTCGGGTGTTCGGGCGGGTTGGGTAGGCAATAGGAGAACCTTACCCGCTATGTGAAGGATGCTACGAATCGGGTTGCCGGGTCGGGTATACGTGGTGGGTCAGGTCAACCGATCCATTAGCCAAATTTCGGTTTAATCCGATCGGGTTTTTCAGGTAGGGTCGGATTTGCTCTCCCCCAATCTCACATCCCGTTTAAGTTTAGGGTATAAAAATTTAAAACCGATCTATCATACAAATAATTTATAAATTATAATTTAACAAATAGTACTGAACTACTCCCTCCGTCCCCCTGTTATTGTCCCATTGCGGTTTACGATGCTTGACCGACGATAAAGCAAACAGATCCCTGTCCGCACTCAAATTATTTTTAGGAAAAAAAATTACATATTCAGAAACTACATTAAAAGGTTTACAAAGTCGCAAAAACCAGAATCAAATTTGATAAAAATTTGATACATAAAGTAAGAGATTAAAAGTGATTTGTGTTGACCAAGTGAATAGGAAATGAGACAATAACAACTATATAGTTCGGAAATAAAAAAGTAATTACGTAGCACGTATTACGTAACAAGTGCAGGAATAGTCCACCAATGCACTTTACACCAAATATTCCTCAAGCGAAAGTATCTGCAAGCACTTTCTTAAAACACATACTACTAAAAAACAGATCAGAATAGTCTCCTAGGATGAAACACACTAATACCGGATGGTACGGTGGACTTATGTTTTTACTTGGACAAACATACCATGCCATCCTTAAACAAACCATACTTAAACAAAATAGATGACACCAAACTTAAACTTAAACTAATCAGACCAAATCAAAGCAAACCAAAAAATTCCAGATTATAGAACATACCAGACGCATATCAGTCCCATGCCAGATCAAAACAGACAAGACTTAAGCAAACTAAACCAGACCAAACTTAAACAAAACAGACCAGATCAGACTAGACCAGAGAATTCCAGTCAGATCAAAAACATCCTTGATGGAATCGGTACTACATGGCATCCTTGTTCGTGGGATTCCATGTAAGGAAGTTATAACTATCATTTTCGTCATTACCGTAAAAGGAGTCGAAGGGTAAAGGTGTTCCGGGAAGCTGACATAGATCAGCACAGCTCATGATCTGTTGATCATTTGCATGGGTATAAGGGTAGCTGGGATCTGAAACGGGCACACGATTCTGCACGAGTGAGGACAACTCACACGGATAAGAAGCAAATGTGCCTCCATCAATTGCCCTATGAGTATCATTTGGTGGCATGGTTTGGCCAAAACTCGTGCCTTCGTTGCTAGCCGTGTCTGAGTTCGTCATTGTGATGACCTCATTGTCATTAGGTGGTATGCTTTGGTGAAGTTGTGAGCTCGATTCAAGGTCTTCACTCTTTCTGGTTTCATTCTTTGTAGATTTATCAACTTTCTTGTAGATACTGCAAAGAACCCAATCATCCAACTGAAAATAAAAGAAAGAGATCAGAGATAAGATGCATAATTATTGTACTAGTGTTAAATTAGATCATAGTCACTATATCTAGGATGTCACATCTTTGTCAGCATATTATTTAATTTAAGTCATTTATAAGTCATTGTTTTCATTAATTAAATCATCTACTACTAATTATGAGTATAATTATTGGTATTTTGAAGGCATGCATCAAGATAAATTATACTCGTACGTAGTATCTCCTTTATAATCTTTCGTTGAAGCATTTCACTATATATAATACTTCCTTTATAACTTCAAACTTACCCATCTTTGACTTTCTTAATAAATGATGTCAAAACTTGACCAATGAGATATTTATTTATATATAAAAATATTTATAATAAGAAAATATGAAATGTTCTTTGATAAAATTAAATACTCTCATATTATTATAAACTTATAGCTTCATATAAACATAATATAAAATCATTGGTCAAAGTTTACCATAATCCACCAAAAGTCAAGGATATCAAAACTTTAAAAGGTAAAGGTATTATGTATGTTTTTAGTTGGATTTATTTTAGTCTAAACCGGATAGTAACAAACTTAAACAAGCATACATGATCAGACAAAACCAGACTAAAATAAATTCAAGTTAGATAAGAGTATTTACTAGACCAAATGACCAGATTAATTAATTATACACGAGAGAGTGCTTATCAAGAAAGGATTATAGAAGACTTATATACTCCCTCCGTCTCGAAAAGGTTGGTCAAATTTCCTTTTTTGGATGTCCCAAAAAGATTTGACATTTTCATTTAAAGTAAGAAATATGTGGCAAAAATTAATTCCATCTCCTCTACACAAATTTCAAGCACACATTTTTTACTTTATTAATACATGTGAAAGTCAACTTTGGCCAAACTTTTTAGGACGGAGGAAATATTGATTATTGACTAATTTGATTAAACAAATACCCGCATGTTGATTCTGGATCTGAGAGGTGGGGCATCGTTGACCCTAAATTCATGCATAATCCATTTGGTCTTTGAGCCTTTTGGTGGTTTTCCTTCATAGAACACCAAAGCTTTTTTGAACCCTATCACGGTAGACCCATGTTTGATTTCTCTATCAGAACCTGTTGCCTTCCAGTAGCCATTCACAACCCCGGGTTCATCGCTCCCTACGGCTCGATTTGGTCGATTACCATTGGGGTACTTCCGATCTCTTGGCGTGAAAAAGTACCATTCTTTTTGTCCAATCATTCGATACTTTGCTGGAAAATTAGTTAGTAACAATTAACAAATAAAATAGGGAGAACTATCAAATAAGCCCTCGAACTTTCATTAAAAGTGCAAATAAGCCCTTTTATAGGAGGCTCTGTCCGGCCGTCGCCATTTCGGGGGGTTTTCAGTGGACTTTTTTGATGAATTTTTTTGAGTATCTACTTTATTAAGTCTAGTTTATTCATACCAAACTTCAGCTAAAAATTCAATCGGAAAGGCAGTCAAATGAATTTTTGAGGATAACTGCATAGTTAGACAGCGCAATATATTTCAGAAAATCATTTGACTGCCTTCTCGATTGAATTTTTAGCTGAAATTTAGTATGGGTAAACTAGACTTAATGAAGAAGATGCTAAAAAAATTCATCAAAAAATTCCATCGGAAACAGGCCCCAAATGGCGATAGCCGGACAAAGCCTCCTGTTAAAGAGCTTATTTGCACTTTTTATGAAAATTCGAGGGCTTATTTGATAGTTCTTCCAATAAAATATGATTCAGAATTGAATTGATGGCCGCAAAACTAAGATCATGAGCACCTTAAACTGTCAATGTAATACGGAGTAAATAAAAGCAGTTCAAATAATGTGTGAATTGCATGCGATTTATAAAAGCAAAAACCTTAATAAATTCACTTCGGAATCTAAATTATCTCTCATTAGGGTTTAAATATTCATTCGCTACGGAACTAAAATTATTACTCATTATGCAACGATACGTATAAGTGTATAACTTGCTTTATTTATTGAGACATCATTTTGTATAACCAAGATATATACTCCTTAAAAAAGTTTTTTTTGGGACAAAACTCCTATAAAAAGTTATGTAGATGCAATAATCGCATATACAGATATATATTGTGGCAGAAACATATAAATATTAAATTTAGAAATTAATGCTCCGTATTACGCAAGGGTTTTTGTATGATAATGTATGTACATGCAATTTACTTCTAGCAAAACTGATCAAGAATATGATTTATACCATTCATATATAAATTACTCTGTAGTATTTTATAACACCCAAAGCATTATATACTTAATCGATTGTATATACGGGAGTATATACATGTATATGCTTAATCTACATAGATAACAATTTCTAGTAAATACTATCCAATGACCCGTACTTAATTAATACCAAAATTGATCAAATTTAAAAGAACAACTGCGTATATATAAACAGTGGTCAGTGGAGGATCTAGGGAGGGGCCTAGGGGGGCAAGTGCCCCGCTTTCGGCCAGTAATTTCACTACTAGTACTTAGAGTAAAATCAGTGTCCCGCTTCCGGTCAAGAATTTCACTACTAGTGTGTCCCTACTCTGAAAATCTCCGGGTCCACCACTGTATATAAACATTCGAGGACAAAAATATTTAGATGAGCGCATGGGCGGATCTATGTAGGGCCTAGGGTGGGCTCTAACCCAGCCCAACCCAATTTTTTTTGTTAGTATAGAAAGAGAATTAATTTTCAGCCCACCCAAAAATTAAAACTCAGCCCACCCCAAGTCTACAAAGAAGTGTTCTAAGAAGCTCTAAAAACTAAGTCCACCCCACTCTTCATTCCTGGATCCGCCCCTGGATGAGCGCCGGTAGTAATTTTAAATGGAGCATACCATGCATTAGGGTTTATTTGCAAAAGACATGCATTAGGGTTAGGTTAGCCGTTAAGCACAATATAATGAACCTGCAGATTAAGTTTATAATTATGGAAAATTGAACGAACCGGAAAGGACCTCAGGATTGTGCTTGTACAAGTTCACTTCCGGAATTTCGCTGGGAGGCAATTTCTGGTTCATTACCTTCTTCTTGAGATAGTGGCAAATCAGCTCATCATCGAAAGGACAAAACCGATAACCGACAGGAAAATTGAAATTTGAAACGTAATTAGTGGGAGGAATATTGTTATCGTTGCTGGGAACGGTTGCCGGAATATCAGCCGCCGGACTAGGCGGAGACTGCTTCACAGGGTGGGGAAGCTCCATAGGCGGAGACTGCTTCACAGGGTGGGGAAGCTCCATAGGCGGAGACTGCTTCACAGGGTGGGGAAGCTCCATAGGAGGGTGAGCAGGAAGATGGAGGTTTCTTAGGATAAGATAATTGTTGAGAAAAATTATGTAGACGCCTGTAATTAATTAATACCCTAGACTTCGTATTTATAAGTAAGGCAAGGTACGGCCGCCTTTTTTTAATTAAAATTAAATGGAATAACTTGTATGCTTAATTACGTTGTGTAAGAGCTTACGATTCTTCCGTTTTTTTTGCTCCTGGTTTTTTATCTCCACCCTTTTTCTCCTATTTTTTCTCTCCCATGTATTCTAAATAAATGTAATAATTAAATGTTTTAATTAAATCTTGTTAATCTTGTTATTTATTTCATTGGACCACATCACTTTATCATTTTTAATTTAGATTTAAACAATTTAGATATTAAAACTTATGAAGTTGTATTGAATATGGATTGTGGTGGATTTTTTTGAATCCGTGGACTTTAAAAAAGTCAATGGACTTTTAAATCCATAGACTTTTTTATGAATGAATTCTATAGACTTTTAAATCCATGGATAAGTTTATTGACTTTTAAAAAGTCCATAGACTTTTAAATGCGAACAACCACTGCTGGTCGTCAAAATTTTCACCTAGACCGCCGCTACCGATCTGCCCGTCCGCCTCCATCACTTGAGTTCCCCACTGTCGTCATCGGATTGATCCGCCACCAACAAAGTCGATTTGGTTATGCAAGGGAATTATGGACAATTACTTATATAAATAATTAAATTAGGGGTGAATATGTAATATTTAGTCATATTTAGAGAAAATCAAACATAAGATCATACTTTTAGAAGAATGCTACTCCGTATGTTTTAGTCCTACCCTGAATAATTTCCTATGTATAATACAGAGTATGATACGAAACAAATAGACAAACAAACAAATAAATAAATAAATAAATGAAACAAATGTAATTCATATAGCAACACAAAGTTCTACAAGAATATATGAGGCATAAGAATCCAAATTTATTTTTATTAAAAAAACTCAAAGTTTCAAGAATGTTCAAGAATTTTGGTCATTTTATTAATGACTAAGAACATTAATCGTTACACAACTGTTACACACATTACTACACGTGGTACAAGCACAGTTGCAATCGAGTTTATCTTCTTAATAATTGTTTTCTTTTCATTTCTATCTTGTAAAATTTTGTGTCCTTATTTACGATTATATATTTATTAATTTGAAATTATATTTGTATGTGTTAGCGATTTAACGATGAAAGAAAGTAATAGTTAAAATATTTATTTTCTTAATGGTTAAGTGACGACGTACCAGAATTGCACTGATGTAATATTATCGATTCTTATAACAGTTCTTCTAGAAACTTCTAGAATCGAACCAGTATGGGATTAACGAATCGAGGGGGTGGGGCAAGCTGAAGACGAAAAAAATGGAAGGAGAGGGGTGGAGCGAGCTAGGCTGAAGAAGAAGAAAGATCGAAGGGGAAGAGGTGACTTGGCTAAAGAAGAGGAGAGTTGGTGGGGTGGGGGAACGGGATGAAGAACCGATATAAAAAAAGTCCACGGAAATCTTTAGTGATGAGAAGAGACAATCAAAGAGAATTAATGTACTAAAAATGAGTTAAAAGTCCACGAGAATCCATGATTTTAGAAATTCATAAGAATGAACGGAACTTTGAATATGCCTAGACTTTTATAGACTTTTAAAAGTCTACATTGAATACACCTAGACTTTTGTAGACTTTTAAAAATCCACATTGAATACACCTAAACTTTTAAAATCCATGGACTTTTAAAATTTTGCCACTAATTCCTAATGCGATACATCCTCTTAGTTCGGCACCAACAATATTAATGATTTGGTGTTTGTCCGCCCCTAAAAATATAGATAGATCATGTGTGTGCACCGGTATTTGAGTAATCTAAAGATAAAATGACTCAAATAAAACTAAAATATCATGGTAAAAGTACAAAAAAGAGGACCATATTTTTAAACCATTTAATTGGAGTAAAATTTGAGTGACTTTAAAGTGCTCTCATTCTAAAAAGGTGACAAGTACCAATTTAAAAAATGAGGTACCGTATCTATGATTCACTTGATCGGTCTACATCATTATATCACTTTTAATTTAGATTTAAATAATTTAACTGCAACATTTACATTGGTCCATGTGAACAAAGATATGATACCTTATAAGTACGATAGAATATATTTTCAATGTCATTTTAAACAAGAATTTCATCGTGATGAAGAGGTACGTACTATGATTATCAAATCACAATGTCATCATGAATAAGTCAAATTGTCTAATGTCATTTTAACAGGAAAAACAAATAACATCATTTGAATGGATATTTTGTTGGCGGCATATTGGTTAGCTGAAACATACCATTGCATATATATTAACAAGAAGTGTCATATAAAGTAATGATTAAAATATCATCTTGATTATCGATATACAAAAAAAATGTCATCTCAAATTGAATTGTAGTATGCACATGTCAATTACTCCTTCCGTTCCTAAATAAACTTTCAACTTTCCTTTTTCGTCCGTTCCAATTAAAACTTTCACTTTCTCTTTTTGGTAAAGAATTTGTGGTTCACAACATTTCTTACATATTTCTCTCTCCTCTGCACAACTCTCCACCACTATCTTAAACTTTGTGTCAAACCCATTTGGAAGTTAAAATGGGAACGGAGGTAGTATTTAACTTAAATAAGGGTATGTTAGATATTTAGATATGACACAAGTATGACAAACTCTTAACAGGAGCAAAAGAGTCTTATTTGACAGAACAGTCTAATAAATGTGAAAGAATTTAAACCCCTTCAAATAGAAAGAATACAAAAATTAACAATAAAATACATATAGATAAATTGATAGTATAGTAAAATATAAGTTTTATAATGTTTACTGTGCACAAATTGGACAATTTTAAAGTTATACACATTTGAAAATATGAAATAATACAGAACATCTAGAAAAAAAAACCTATAACTACTACTACGCCAGCTAAGTTTGTCCCATTTTTCCTTTTTGAAAAACTCGTTAAAATTGTCTCATACCAAATCTGTTAAAGTTTTGTATGTGGCTATCGATCATTTTTACTTTATTTTTATTTTGTCAATTTAATATCAACCACGTCGGTGTGATCTTTGAATTTGAGACTTTTACACTTGGCACATGGACATCTGATTTTATCACCATTCATATAATCCTTTTATTCAAGTGAAAATTTAATAAACTCTTGAATTCCATTAAGAAATTCATCTCGCATTCCTCTCTTTTCGCCATGTTTATCATACATCCAACTTCTATTTTGTCTATATATTATGCCTGAATATTATAACAAAAAAACTTTAATATTGGTTAAAAACTACTCCTATAAATTATAAACATTAAAAATAATTTGTTATGTTTAATATATTCACTAATTAATATTTAGGAACATTAATATATTAAATTTCACTAAAGTTCACTATAATTAAGTAATGTTCAAATAATATTATTAATTAGCTAAAAGCAATACGTTTGTAACATTAATTATTTCAATTAACTAACTTTTGAATCATAACTAATTAATATTTATGGACATTAATATAATAGTTTTCACTAAAGTTCACTAAAATTAACTAACGTTCAATTAATATTATTAATTAACTAAAAGCAATACGTTAATGACATTAATCATTTAAATTATTACCTAATTCACAATATTAGGATTTTAAGACTAAATACACTAAATTATTACGTTAATGGCATTAATTCACAATACTAAAATTATGAAAATCTAATATTACACAATAAATAATTAACCAATTTAACATTTAAATTAAATGAAATTCAAACACTCCCTCCGATTCTAAAAGATCTTGACACTTTGACTTCACAGTTTTTAAGGAAATAAACACTGTTTGACACTGTTTTGTGTAGATTTATTTGCCAAATAAGGCAAATAAGGAAGTGTAAAGATCTTTCAGAACCGGAGGGAGTAATTCATAATAATAATTCACACTAAAGTAATGTTTCAATCCTAACTTAAATCATTATAAATCCTAAATTAGGCATTAACAATAATTGCTAATAAACAAAGCTAATAATATTATAAACCCATTTCAATTAACTAATATTTAAATTTAACTAATATTATCAATTCAAATCCTAAAATAATGGCATTACCAATAATAGAAAAATTAATATACATTTCCAAACGTATTTCAAATATATGCACATAAGATAGATTACATCCTTCAATCTTTCAACAAATACTGTACTCTGATTTTTAACTGGTATGAGTCGAATGAAATTGGTCTGCCATATATAAAAAAAATTGTCACGAATTTTGTCACGGATCGATCTGGCCGTGACAAACACTTTTCCGTACACAATTAATACCATGACCGTTGAAAATTTAAAAATTCAACTTTGTCACGGATTTTGTCACGGATCCGGCCGTGACAAAATGCCCGGAACTAAAAAAATGGATGGAGTAAATCGTCGGTCGCCGGAAGCTTTTTGTCACGGACAGTATCCATGAGAAACCGGTGTCACAGATTTTGTCACGGATTTATTTGTGACAAATTTTCTTGGTGACAAATCAGACTTTTCTGTAACAAAGCCCATGACAAGTTTGTCACGGATCAAATCTGTGACAAATGTCCGTGACAAATCAGATGTTTTTTTAAAGTGGGAATATTTTCACAATTTACTTTAATTATGAGCAGCAAAAAATGACAATTTGTATGCCACATCAGCCATTTAAATGTCCTCAATAAAAGCAGTCCATCAGGCATGCATGATTTATAAAACAAAAAGAATTTAATCAAGATAAAAATTAAATCTAAACTTCGCTTTTATGTTGATATCGTTTGGGATAGGATTTGAGTAATTCTTCTGAAATTTGTATACAAATTGTAAACAATCTATGAACACGGGGGGATTATTAGAGGCAATACCTGTTTTTTTAAACTAACTCCGACTCTATGTGTACATGCAATTGGAGGTGTGTACAATTTGTGTACTAATTTTGTGTACAAATATAATTTTCATAGAAACTTAACCAAGATATATAT